AGCACAGAGGAAACAAAGGGCCAAGATAGCGTAAAAACTTTAGTACAGACAAATTAAAAAGAGAATGTGCTTGAAGCTGTGCTTCCATGCCTTTTCATTAGTTAAATAATGGGTTTTAAAGGGTAGTGCTGAAACCACTATAACAACTTTAATAAGATGAACGTGTTAAAGTGCCTACAGTGTTTCTTTCAACACAGGGATCTTATCAAGTGCATGATATTCTGATATTCTATGTACATCAGCAAATCTATCTTAACATACAATATATTCTACTATATATATATATATATTCAATTTTATAAAATACAGTTGTCAGCATGGGAATCTTAAGGGGGTCATTGTTTTAAAGTAGCAATAAGGGGTAGAGTTTAGTATTAGCAATCAGTTTATAAGAATAATATTTATATATTACCACATGCAATCTATATCTTGTATTAATAGTTTTGATGTTGGTAATTAAAATTAAAATGGAGGTGGAAAATTAATATTATGTCTGCTGAATATGTATTTACATGTTCCAAAAGCATAAAAATCACGAACAAGGGTAACCTTTGATGTGGTTTTTTTTTTTGTTTGTTTTTTTTTTAAAGCTGGTGAGATATCTAAAACATGTAAATTTCACCACTGCTGCCGGGGACAAAGTAAGCTTTGACCAAAATGGAGACCCTTACCCATCCTATGACCTGGTGAATTGGCAAAAGGAGAACAAAACCTATTTTTTTGCCCATGTGGGAGAGTTCAGCCAAGATGAAAGTTTCAGGCTAGATGAAAACATTATAGTTTGGCAAGGATCACACAAAGAGGTAAATTTTATTTCAGTTTGGGGATTAATTAGGATGGGAGTCATGCTAGAAGAACATAAAGGATATTGCATTTCTAGAGAGCCACAATACAAAGAAGAAATCTCCTGAAAGTAAAGCCAATTGGGCATCTCCAAACCAGTGGAATTCACTATATTTCTGCATTTCAAGAGTCCTGTTTCGTTTTGGGAAATTTTGGAGCTAAGTAAATTAACCTCAGTTGCATGTTTAGTGTTCCTCAAAACCATGTATTTATCTTGAAGATCATATTTCACTTACCATAACTGATACATTACTTGGAATTCAATTTGTTTGAAGGCCATGAATATAACAGAAACTCATATGCATCACATCTATTTAACCGTCACTAACTTTACTGTACAGTACAGATATATTGAAGTGAACAACCACTAATTTTATTTTTTCTAGGTCCCCATTTCAGTGTGTAGCACAAGTTGTCTTCCAGGCAGCAGACGTGCAGTCCAACCAGGCAGACATTCTTGCTGTTTTGACTGCATTTCATGTGAGGATGGCAAAATCAGTAATGAGTCCGGTAAGCTAATTAAATTATTTCCTTCACAGTTTTTGTACATTCTGTTACAGTTATACGTTGTTATTTTAAAGTTAAAGGGACACTGTAGGTGCCCAGACCACTTCAGTTAATTGAAGTAGTCTGGGAGCTGTAACCCTTTTGCACTTAGTGTTTACATTGCAGCTCTAAGTCTGCCCTCTGTGGTTGTCTACTAAGGGCGCTTCTGGAATCCAAACTGACTTTTGGTCCGTTATCTGACGCTTGAAGGTCCTCACGGACCTCCAGCGTCAGATTTTCCCCATAGGAAAGCACTGAATAATGCTTTTGTATGGGGAGGTCTAATGAGCGCGCGGCCATTGCCGTGCATGCGCATTAGGTGTCCCCCGCCAACATCAGCCTGACTCGTGGGCAGATCCTGACCGAGTGCCGAAGGACATCGGTGCTGGATTCAGGTAAGTGGCTGAAGGGTTTTTATCCCCTTCAGCACCGTGGGAGGGGGGACCTAATAACCCTATAGTGCCACAAATGGCTTTGTTTTCCTGTCACTATAGGATCCCTTTAATCAGACTCCTACTGTCAAATGCTCTAAACCAGTTGACAAACACTGAGGGTATGGTGCACTACCTAAGAACTATTTAAACACCCACTAAGCACCGTAACCCGTAATTATAGGGGTTCTGGTGCTTAGAGTGTGCCTTTTATCTACATGACCATACATCGTTTGGTCAACAAGAATCAGACATACAGTCATTTGTAATATATACGACAATGCAGGCTGCTACAGTAGCCACAAAAGATGCCTTGATATATTTTCTGAATCCCCCTCTAATACCTCCTCCCTGAAAACTATTCAGCAGCTCAAAGTTGTTACCTTTCTTTAATGCCCCTTTAAAGCAAGCATTTTTCATGATAGAAAGAAAAAATGTTGGGTCTTTACTTTAAATATAAATATTATTTCCTTATGACAAAATGTAACTTGGTTATTTAAATGTTTATTTAAATCTATATTCATTCATATTATCTCTCCCTTCTGGTTCTTCTACACATCACTGGTTTTAATATAATAATTCAGCTTGAAGGCTTGCAAATTCTATTGTCACTAATGAGTTTTATAAAACATGTGGGAAACTTTGCCATAATCAGAGAACGGATTGTATTTAGCAAGCAGTAAAATGTGACAAATCAGTATTTTGTTATCATCAGATTTATAATATCCTGTGTTTCACAGCCTGATATAAATTCTGCTTTGTTAGCATTAGCAACGTAATGTTCTATTAAAGACTGAGCAAAGGCACAAAAGTACATCAAAGCTCATGAAGAGTTTTCTGCATGAATTCTTTATTATTATTTTGATTTTAAAAGTCCAGCGTATGCCAATAGACCATGTAAACCAAGCTATTATGAACCAAGTGCTTAAGTAATTTCTGCTGCAGGTCTTAGCGCTGCCAACTTAACAGTATGATACCAGGAATGCCAGTATTATCACAGGCAATATTCAAACTCTGGTAAAGGTTATACAGACAGTTTGCAAAAGGGTGCTCTCCTAAAGAGGCATCCCTATCATGCCAAAAAATCAATAGTATATATACAAAAGGATGCACACCAACTTAATAATCAATCACTTTATTATACAATCAAATAATATATTACAACAAACACGTGAAACATCATAATACACCAGTGATACAGGCTATAAGCAACAAATCACAAAACAAAATATATATGTAACATTTACATAGAACCTCAACGGGCTGGACACGTGTACCTCTAACGCCCCCCTCCCCCACCCCCCACTCCCCCATCCCGCACCCACACAAACGTTTCATCATCAGCAAAAGTGACTTTCTCAAAGGAAATGCAATTTAAATAATTGTATTTTTTGGTATCTCTGAAACATTATCTGCAAACAAATTGAGCCTGTTATTATGCTAGCTACGCATCCTGTGTATCAAATTAACTTAATGCAAATTCATTTTTTTACGTAAAGAAGTTGTTAGAGGTGGTGAATAAATCCAGCTCTGCTGCTTGTAGGTTTGACAATTAGAATTCCATTTACCCCATATTAAAAAGCTCCAACAATGAAAATGTAGACAGCTGACAACTGTAGAATGCCGTGGAATGAGGTGGATTTATCAGAGCAAAGCTTGAGGAAAAAATAAGTCTTTAATAAGCTACCTCTGTCAGCTGGAGCCAGGTTTAGTGGCCCCACACTGACTGGTGAGCTGTGAGCAGCATTCAAAGCAGGACAGCACACAGCCATTAACAATTTCCGCATTCAGCCATGGATCGGTGACACCATAAGTTAGCTACCTCTGTCAGTGGGCGGTCGATAATAACCCTGAGCGGATCTTCCTACAAGTTCCCTCTTGCATAGAGAGTGTAATAGGTGCTGGGGTCTGGATACTTTCCAACACTGATTACTGTCAGGCAAGAACACAGAATCATGTCGCAGTCAGGACCGGCAAGTCCTATAGATGAATTAGGCGGTCATCTAGGGCGCACTGGCCTGGGGGACGCACGTTTCAAGTGACCCGGCAGGAGGGAAGCGCACAGCGCTCCCTCTACCTGTCACTTAGTGTAGCGTGGCCAGGCGACGCAGACCGCTGTACAGGAGCTTCTGTTTCCTGTACCCGGCCGGACTTAAAGGAAGTGCGCACTGAGAGAGCACTTCCTGTCAGTCCGGCCAGGTACAGGAAACAAAAGCTCCCGTACTGCTGTCCGCGCCACCTGGCCACGCTACACTGAGGTGGGAGACAGCACTAAGGGACAGTTGGGAGAGACCACTAATGGGGGGGGAGACCACTAAGGGAAAGATGGGGGGAGGGGAGATGAGGCCACTAAGGGAAAGATGGGGAATGGGTGGGGGAAGAGACTGCTAAGGGAAACATGGGGTGGGGGGAGAGACCACTAAGGGAAAGATGGTGAGTGGGAGGAGAGACCACTAAGGGAAAGATGGGGGGGGAGACCACTAAGGGAAATATGGAGGGGGGGAGAGGTCACTAAGGGAAAGATGGAGGGGAGGGAGGAGAGACCACTAAGGGAAAGATGAGGGAGGTGGGAGAGACCACTAAGGAAAAGATGGAGGGAGGAAGGAGAGACCACTAAGGGAAATATGAGGGAGAGGGGATAACTCTAAGGTACAGGAAGGGGGCAGGGGAGAGCACTTAGGGTTAGTGGAGAGCACAAAGGGACAGGGGGGCAGGGGAGGGCGCAAAGGGACAGAAGGGGAGATCACTAAGGGACAGGAGAGCAGGGGAGAGCACTACAGGACGGGGAAGCAGGGGAGATCACTTAGGAATGAGGGGGGGAGGTGACATCACTAAGGGACAGGTGGGGAGGGGAAATCACTAAGGGATGGGAGAGCACTAAAGGATAGGAAAGCACCAAGGGACAGGAGGGGAGGGGACAACACTAAGACACTACACACACACACAATGCATCCCTTACATACACACACTCAATGCACCCATTACAGACACACACTGCATTACATTACATACACAGAAACACGCCTTGCATCCCTTACACATACAAACACAGATTCACACAATGCATCCCTTACACACACACACTACATGCCTTACACAAACTGTTATCCCTATACACTACATTCCATAAGAACACACACACACACACACATTACATCTTCTACAATAACACATAACACATCCCCTACACACATGCACTCTGCTCCCTGTGAGCAAACTCATGGGTGGATCTGTAGGCATAAGGCTTATGGATGGGCTTTGTAGGCATACTCATGGTCATGCCCTGGGGGCCCAGACCATGATCTGTGTAAGGGGCCCCAAGAAATGGAGCTGCTTCCTGTACGTTCATTTTTGTGAGCACTGCCTCCAGAGAGCCAGACTGCAGCCTGACCCCATCATCATCCTCTTGTCCTCATCTGGTTTTAAGCAGGCAATCCAGTATATTATTAGTGGCACTAATCTTTAATTTACCTCACATTAAAGGGACACTATAGTCACCAGAACCAATACAGCTTACTGTAGTGGTTCAGGTGCCTATAACCTGCCCCTGAGGCTTTTTAATGTAAACACACTGCCTTTTCAGAGAAAAGACACCGTGTACAGCACTGGCAATATCTAGTGATTATATCAGTATCTAACTAAATCATTATTGTCCATAGATTCCTTGGAATGCATGAAATGTCCTCTTGAATATTGGTCAAACCCATCAAAAGATCGTTGTGTTCCAAAAAATCTGGAGTACATCTCATTTAAAGAAACCTTGGGCTCTGTGCTACTTGGAGGAGCATTGCTTGGAGTAATTCTCACAATCTGTGTTGTCAATGTTTTTACATATTACAGATACAGCCCAATTGTACGAGCAAATAATTTGGACCTTAGTTTTTGCATTCTGTTCTCCATTTTATTATGTTTCCTTTCCTCGATTACCTACTTGGGGGAACCATCTGCCCCTTTCTGTATGCTGAGACACACAGGGTTTGGGATTACCTTTGCACTTTGTATGTCTTGTGTTTTGTGTAAAACAATTATAGTGATTGCAGTATTTAATGTGCAACATCCTGATAGCAATTTGACTTCGCTTTTTAGTTCAACAAAGCAAAAGGTATTCATTTTCCTGTCCACCACATTTCAGATTGTTGTGTGCATAGCCTGGAATATAGTATCTCCTTCTCACCCTGTAAAGAAAATTACCCAAGACAGCTTTTCAGTTTCTTTAGAATGTGACACTGGGTCATCGGTTGCTTTCTCGCTTGTCCTTGGATATATTGGTGTTCTAGTATGTGTGTGTTTCACTCTTGCATTCTGTGCACGGAACCTTCCATACCACTACAACGAAGCTAAATTCATAACCTTCAGTATGGTGATAGTTTCTGCTGTGTGGATAACTTTTATTCCTGTCTATTTAAGCTCCCCTGGAAAATATTTGTCGGCTGTTGAAATGTTTGCAATGTTATTTTCCAGCTATGGCTTGCTGATATGCATCTTTGCCCCAAAATGTTATATTATTTTATTTCAGCCAGAAAAAAATAACAAAAAGTATATGAGGAGCAGACCTGGCTTAAGGAGAGACTGACAGACAACAGCATAACGAGGATAAACAACATATGGTAATCTTCCAAACAAATACTGTATTTCTAGAAGTAACTTTTCAGAATTCTCTACCAGTAAGATTAGTTGCATTGCTATGCAGAACTTTGCCTCCATTCTTATTTACTTTTGTAAATGACACATAATAACACAAGGGTATAATCTATATTTAAAGGAAAACTATAGTATTCGTAACACTATAGTTAGTTGTTACATGTTTAGGTAGTGGCCCCCCTCCAAGTGCATGAAAAGGTAACAACACAAATATGTAACCCCTATATTCAAAGATAGCCCGCCTCCCGGAAGAAGTGTACCAAGTATCCAGTTCTGTGTATTTATGAAGCCGGCATTTGACGCAGAAAACTGGCTTTAACATTGATCGGAGGAGAAAGATATACTTGAAAAAAGGGGAACTTACCTGCCTGGAAGCAGATTTTATCTATATTGTGAATAAAGTTTGTTTACCTTTAACATAGCCTGAAGCAGAATGAGAAACACGGCAGAATCCAGAAGTACCGTCATGACGTATGGGCGTGGACCGTCATTCATCACGTAGTCCGGAAGTTCACGAATGCGGAAGTAACTGTGGAACGGCGGCAAACTGCGCAAAGTTTGATTTCCGACATGACCAGATATAAAGCACCAGGAGAGAGGTCCACTATACACTTTGAGAAAGACCTGTTCCGGTCGAAACGCGTTAGTGCTAGTGGACTTTTAACTTTTATCAAGTTTGGCTTATGCTGTATATTTTCCTTGTATTTGTATCCAGTAAAGTTTATTTCACTTTCATCACATTGGATATTGTTATACTTCTTGGGTACTGGAAAGGAGACACCACAACAGTGAATCCTAGAGCCTGAATAAGCGGATTATTCATCTGCCATCTAAGCCAGAGCCTGCTTGTTGTGGCTCTGGAAAGTGTGAGTGACCCATTACCTCTGTAGTGTATAAATAACAGTATTATGCTATGATTGTTTTTATGTTATTTTTTCAGAAAGATCAGGAGGTTCCTTACGTGTAAGTATATATTCCAGAATTGTTGAATAATTTTCAACCCCCCTCTATCCATTACTTTATTCTATGTTCTATTTAATCTTTAGTTTTAGCTTATTTAGATTATAATTTGTATTGTTTTATTTATACCATTATTGTAAACACATATATTTCTTTTTAAATATTTTCTAATTCTATTTTCTTATTTCTGAGGTATATATATAATTTCAGTTATTGCTACTGGCCAAACTTAATTCACGAGGTCGTTCGCGGCAAAACTCACTAACGATATTACAATTATACTCTTATAATTTTCGTCTGCGAACCGTTCAGTCATTTTGTGTATCTTTTGTGCGTTTCTAACCGAATGCTATTCGCCCTTTGATTATTTTTTTCGTGAACACCCTTTTGCGGTCTGAAGCCATTCAGTTTATTAAAATTTTCCTCTCATTTGCGGCGCGAATGGGTTTAACCGTTCAGTTGTTTCATACATTAAATTTACCTCAGATTTAGTGATGTCCCGGACGGTTCGCTGGCGAATAGTTCCTGGCGAACATTGCTTGTTCGTGTTCGCCACGGATGGCGAACATATGCGCTGTTCGGTCCGCCCCCTATTCATCATCATTGAGTAAACTTTGACCCTGTACCTCACAGTCAGCAGACACATTCCAGCCAATCAACAGCAGACCCTCCCTCCCAGAGCCTCCCACCTCCTGGACAGCATCCATTTTACATTCACTGTGAAGCTGCATTCTTAGTGAGAGGAGGGACAGTGTAGCTGCTGCTGATTTGATAGGGAAATTAATAGCTAGGCTAGTGTATTCAGTGTCTACTACAGTCCTGAAGGACTCATCTGATCTCTGCTGTAAGGACAGCACCCCAAAAAGCCCTTTTTAGGGCTAGAACATCAGTCTGCTTTTTTTTTCTGTGTAATGTAATTGCAGTTGCCTGCCTGCCAGCCTGTGTGTCAGGCTCACAGCATATACTGTGCCCACTTGCCCAGTGCCACCACTCACTCACTGGTGTCACAATAGCTTGCATTTAAAAAAAAAAAACTTTTTTGACTGTAATATAATAGCAGTCAGTTTCCTTCACAAGTGTGCGTTTCAGGGCCTGCCCAGTGCCACCACTCACTCACTGGTGTCCCAATAGCTTGCATTTAAAAAAAAAAAACTTTTTGACTGTAATATAATAGCAGTCAGTTTCCTTCACGAGTGTGCGTTTCAGGGCCTGCCCAGTGCCACCACTCACTCACTGGTGTCACAATAGCTTGCATTTAAAAAAAACAAAACTTTTTGGACTGTAATATAATAGCAGTCAGTTTCCTTCACGAGTGTGCATTTCAGGGCCTTCCCAGTGCCACCACTCACTCACTGGTGTCCCAATAGCTTGCATTTAAAAAAAAAAAAACTTTTGGGACTGTAATATAATAGCAGTCAGTTTCCTTCACGAGTGTGCATTTCAGGGCCTGCCAGGGCACAGTGTCACACCAGTGCAACTCATATCTGGTGTAACAGTAGTGTACATTTAAAAAAAAAAAATACAATTTTGACTGTAATAGATTGAATAGCAGTTAGTTGTCTGCCAGCGTGTGTGTCAGGCTCACAGCGTATACTGTGCCTGATAGGGGACGTAACAGGGATTAAACTGATAAGAATAGCACTACTTAACACACCACTCCTATCTGGTGACACATTAGATTGCACGCGCAGTGCCCCAAATTTGAAGAAGGAGGACCGACCAAGCATCTTTTTCCATCTCCCGGTTCCTAAAATGATGCCATATACACGTCCCCTGATAGGGGACGTAACAGGGATTAAACTGATAAGAATAGTACTACTTAACACACCTTATAATAACGCAGAGAGAGGCTGTGATGGACCGCTGGCACTCTGACTGAGTACCTCTGCCAATTGATGCTCCTAGTGCTCGCTGAGGACTCCAAGCACTCCTACCGACACCATCAGCACTGTAGACCACACTCCCAGCAATGCAGCTGCGCCGGGGTCTCGCTGTCTCCACCCACCCTGGACCCAAGGCCAGGATCCAGCTTCCAGTGGGTTAACCTCTCTTTCCCCAGAGAGCAGGAACAAGCTCTTAGCAGAGCTTAGTGAATATACCCTGGGGAGTATAGTGAATATAGCAATCCCCAGAGTGTAGTTTTCCAATCCCCCAAACATGAGCCAAGGCTTAATGTTGGAACAAGACTTTACTGGAAGTAACAACAACAGGTATTCAAGCTACAGTTTCTTTTATGCCCTGCTCCCATGCAGGGGAGGGACACACACGTTATCTACAGTAGCCAATAAAACAGAGGTTACAACCCACACAAAATCCTCCCCTCTGCCTGTGATTCAATTATCTTATACAATAGAATATGCAATTATCACAGGTAGGAAAAATACAGTTTTTACAGCATATTCATAACTTCTAAAATATACATCACATTCACATAAATCATATTATATATTCACAATCAATCCATTCAGGGAAACAACATATCAAAAAATGGCATGAATCAGACCAGGGGTCAGAAGTTAGTAAAGTATCTTTTGGGGCCTGGCTGACAGCATGGCTATCTGGGCCAAACCGGTTTTACAGAGCCCTCTATCCTAGAGACAATGGGGAACATAATCAAATTATATCCAGGGATAGAGGCAGACTCCATTGAGCACATGTTAAAAATAAAACATAAAACACAAAAGGATACAAAAATACATAACTCCTATCATACTGAATTGAACGGGCCAAATCTCCCAGGGTCCATAGTCACAGGGCAAGAGGCGGGCAAGCAGTCCTCTCCAGGCACAAGTGGCGAAGGGCACTTTGTCACAGTAATAAATCCATGGATAAAGTAGCAGGGAGGGAAAGTACCGAATGAATGGAGGGGTATTCTTCACAGAGGAAACACAGAGAGAGGAGTCTGAAGAAGAGGAGTCAGAGGAGGAAGGTGGCTTTGAGGAGGTGGAAGACCAAACACAGCAGGCGTCCCAGGGGGCTTGTTGTCACCTTTTGGGGACCCTTGGTGTTGGACGTGGCTGGGTGGAGGAAGAGACCTCAATGACATCAGTGAGGACAAGGAACGGGACATGGCTAGCTTGGTATCCAACCTTGTGCAAATGGGGAGTTTGTGGTTGTGCAAATGGACTGTTTGCAGTTGTTTGCGGTGCGTTAAACGAGGAGTTTGGTCTGTCACTGTGAAGTGGGCGTAACCCTTACACTACCTGATCGCTACAACATCATACCTGATGTTTTTTAGTTTTTTTAAAAATTCTTTATTTTATTTGTGCATAGCGTGAACAACCATGTTTGCACTGCCACGAAAGCTGGTGCAAACAAATATGCAAACATATGTTAAGATTGGTATGGCATTGAAAAACATTGCACTTTTTTTTTATAGTCAGAGTAGGAAACATGTTAAGGGTTAAACAAGCTTATATGATTTGAAGCACTGATATCCTGAGATAGTAGTTAATTGCCTATGGGTGAGTTAACCCGCTAAAATCTTAGTGTTTTATGCTAGATTGTCGTGTCATAGGCATGGTGAAATGCTACATGCTAGAGCTAGGCACAACAGATTATAACAATAACAATAACAAGATTGGCTGCGCAATGAGGTCGTTAGAACAAGGTGAAATAATCAACGCTTATCAGTGCTAGTTTAGGTATGTTAGTTATGCAGCCGTAAGAGTAATATGGTATTATGATTTATACTATAAAGGTAACAGGCATGTGTTTGATATGTGTACTGCTTGCGCTGCTCTTGTGTAGGCTGTTGTGTCGTGAGAAGCAAATAACAGTGCAGTATTGTGCCTACAATGTGAGGTTACTTCGCTACACAAGCTAAATGTAAGAATAGACTGTATCGTAAGTAACTAACATAAAATTATGCTTTGCCGTTAATTAGCTGGGCAAACAACCTTCAAGGGCATTGTGCATTCTGCGTCTGGGTATTCCGCTGTTTTGGGAATTCAGTCCAGGCTAGGATTACCCCCTGCGAGGTAGCGTTTTAGGCTTTTCAGCCTATACCCAGTGGTGGTAAGTCCTGTGCTTTGTGTCTGTGGGACTCGTCTTTGCTGCCACAGGGCCCGGTGTCTCCGCCTCGGGGTTCTGCTCCGGTAGTGTCCCCCATGTGGTACAGTTGCGTGGTCGCTTGCGATGTTGCCTTGTATAGGGAGGTGCGTGTCGTGTTGCGCTTATCGCCGGGGTTTCGGTCAGGTTGGGTATGTGTGGGCGTCGCTTGGTTCGTAGCCCCAGTGTTTCTTGTGTGCTGTTGGGTTTGTGTGCACGGGAGGTTTTCGTGCCACATCCCTCCTCGAGGCCCGGCGGTATCTGTTCTGCCGGATGGCCATCTTGGAGGCTCGGGGTATCTGCATATAGTAGCTGCGCCTCGCTGCAGGACGTATCCATGATGCCACCGTTAAGTCAGCTTGGTGGTGAGTTACTCCCCGGCTGAGTAGAGCCTCCCTTAGGCCTGCGCAGAGCCAGTCAAAGGTTTCCAGTGGGGACCTGTGTGTGTTGAGGCTGGTGCTCCGCTTTTCAGGCATAGGCTGGGTGGCCATTTTGGACAGGCTGTGTGGGTTTGTTGCCCCGCTTTGCTTCATCTCCATCTTGCTTGCTTTATGGATGTGAATGAGTGTTGCCGGCTGCTGCTGCGTGCTTTGAGTTTTGCAGTCGCTTGTGTCCGCCATTTTGGAGGCCCTCACCTCCGGTCTGTTGGTTTCGGCTGTCGGCTCCAACTGCCGGTGTGCAGCAGGGCTAGTTCCGTGTGGCTGGGACCGGGATATCCCCCCCGGTCCATGGTGGGGGGGGATGCTTGGTGCCTGCCTGTGGCCCGGAGTGGTGACTGGGAAGCGGCCGCCGTCCCAGCCCGTCCATGCCCGTGGGCCCTGGTCCGCCATCTCGGTTCCCAGGCATTCTATGCGGCAAGTCGGGTGTCTGCGGGTGTGTGCTGGGTTCCCCAAGCTATATAGTCACAGTGCGTGGGTCTTTCTGTGTTTCACCCCCAGATTTTAAGCTGTAAGTGTTCCGATCGGCGGGAGCTCGAGCAGAGCACGTCTTGCTCGCTTGCTTGTCAGGCTCCGCCCCCCCATACCTGATGTTTTAAAGCACGTTATTCCAAACAATTTAGGAATGTTAGGTGATTTATGCCCTTTATGGATTAAAACCAGACTCTGCATCAACTATGTAATTTTCCATGGGAGTTTTGCCATGGATCCCCCTCCAGCATGCCACAGTCCAGGTGTTAGTCCCCTTGAAACAACGTTTCCATCACTATTGTGGCCAGAAAGAGTCCCTGTGGGTTTTAAAATGCGCCTGCCTATTGAAGTCTATGGCGGTTCGCCCGGTTCGCCGGTTCGCGAACATTTGTGGAAGTTCGCGTTCGCCGTTCGCGAACCGAAAATTTTATGTTCGCGACATCACTACTCAGATTCAATCTGATTTCATTTCCCAGGCTTTTTCACAGCTAGTTGGTTGTCATCTAGCTCTTTCCTGACCCTTTTTTACCCACCCATTACCACCTACTTTACCTCAGCAGATTCCTTCAGCTGACATTGTTTTTTCTCTGAGAAAGATTACTTTGATACAATTTGTATCCAGTTCAGGTTATTTTACCAAATAATACTTATGCAATTGTAATTTTATTGAAATATATCAAGCAATATTTACTTTATTGCAGACTTTTAGAATTATTTTATTGCAGACTACTAGAATTTGACTATTATTATGAATTCTAAAGAGTCTAAGAAAACTTTTCCACAGTCACCAATTACTGGTGCCAATGCTGAATGTGAAATCCTCACTGAGGACTCGTTACAGAATATTGTTGATTTATCTGTCAGCAAATTAATATCATCTGGAATAGTTTCTGCTATGTCCTCTATGCAATAGGCAATTGCAAAATCTGTGACTCATGCTATCAGCCAATCTACCAAATCTGCGCAACAGACTGAGGTAATTAATACTACATCTGACCAATTTTGGTCATCTGTTGAGTCTGAAAGGAAGTTGGCGCTGGGAAGGTCACCCAGAAGCATAAGCATTGTTTTGAAGGATCTTATGATTCCCCTTCTTGCTCTGAAGCATCTAAAAAAGGGAAGGGTCAAGACTATAATGAAATGCATATATCACGCAAATTGGATGAGAGTAACTTACTCAAAAGACCCTCTGCTCGTGAGGAAGACAAACGAGCTTGGAAGACCATTCACAGGAGCAAACCTGACTCTTATAAAACCTCCTCTGATAATTCATCCTCATCTTCTGAAGATGAAGAATCTGATGCTGATTCTGCTTATTCTGTATACTCTGAGGTGCCTGAACATGTATCAAAATCTGATTATGAAAACGTTATTACGGATACTGCAGGGAAACCTTTATTTAATCCAGATAATATGAAAAATCCCCATTCAGCCGATGGCTCATGTAGCCAAATACCTTAAATATTAAGAAAATAAGAAATATGCTACGGGCTGAATGCCCTAGACTGACTTTAGCTAAAAAATTTGCACAGACCCCTGACTTAGATCCTACTTTAATACAATTTCTAACAAAATCATGGAAGAATCCTAACAAAGGACTTGACAGGTGACTACAATCCTGTCAGGACAAGCTAATGGATATTTCTGGTCCCGTGGCAAAAAATATTTGAAGTCCTAGAACAAGCTTCTGCTTCAGGGAGTTCCCCCAGTGTTGACATCCTTAGAGGATGGACACAACGAATTGTATGTTTTCTAGGAAACGCTAATACAGCTAACACAGAAAGATGAAGGTCAATACTCATAAGGATTGACCAACTATTAGCTTGCCTAGCCACTACAGAACCAGGACCACCAGCAGAAGGACTCCTGTTTGGAGACTCATTTATTAAGGATCTTAATAAATATGTAAACCTATTTAGCTCCATAGACAAAGTTTAAACTTCACTGAAGAGAGTTTTCAGCCCTAAGGTTTTCAGAAGAGCTGGAAGAGGACTGAACCACTCTTCAAGCCCCTTCTCTCAAAACAGACAGGTTCCAAGAAGCTCATTCCAAGCAAGTTCAAAAGTTCAGCCTTCCTCACATTTGTTTTTTTGCTGTTGATCCAAATGAAGGCAAAAAAAAACAGTTTGAAGCACAATTTTGCAACAAGCTAGGAAAAAAATTCCTTCTTGACCCCAGAACGGCAGTCAGATTTATCCTTGGATCAAGCAGTTATTACCCTACATTGAAAAATTATATCCTTGAACATTCTGTTTTTGCAAGTATGCATCTAGTAGCTGTTTGAACACCTGAATAGAAGGGGTCCCAGAACAGACCCCTGAGGGACACCACTTGCCACCTCTGTCCAGCTTGAAAATGTACCATTAATGACAACTCTTTGTACTCTGTTTTTAAGCCAATGTTCTACCCAAGAACAAGCATTTTCATCTAGACCGATTTCCTTGAGTTTGAACACTAATCTATTGTGTGGAACTGTATCAATTGCCATGGCAAAATCCAAATAGATCACATCCACTGCAACACCCTGATCTATACTTCTATTTACTTCTTCGTAGAACGCAATCAAGTTAGTTTGACATGGCCTGTGCTTCATAAAACCGTGCTGATTTTTGCTGATAACCATGTTCTTCTCCAGGAATTCTTGAATATTATCCCTTAATAACCTTTCAAATATTTTCCCAGCCACAGAAGTTCAGCTCACAGGTCTATAATTCCCAGGCAAAGATTTTGAACCCTTTTTGAATACAGGAACCACATTTGCCTTCCTCCAATCCTCCGGAACACTTCCTGAAAGAAAAGAATCTTGAAAGATTAAAAACAGAGGTTTACTTTTTTCTACACTTAGTTCCTTAAGTACATGTGGATGGATACCGTCAGGCCCTGGAGCTTTGTTTAAATTAACTTTCTTTAGTTGCTGCAGCACCTTGTCTTGAGTTAACCAATTACAATTATTCTGCAAGTTTTTAGTAGCAATCATTTGCACATCTATTGCCATGGGTTCTTCCTTAATATATGCGGAGGAGAAATAGTTATTTAAAATTCCTGGTCTTCATTAAACTAACATCCCAGTTTCAGTTTTTAGTGTACCTACACTTTCATTTTTGTGTTTTTTGGAATTTATGTACTTAAAAAATGCTTTGGGGTTGGTTTTGCTCTCTTTAGCTATCATTTTTTCATTTTGAAGTTTAGCAAGTCTAATTGCCTTTTTGCACGCATTATTTGCTTCCTTGTATCTTTTATAAGATGCATCTGATTTGTCCGATTTAAATGCTTTAAATGCCCTTTTCTTATTATTAATCTCTTGTCTTACTTCTCTACTAAGCCACATTGGTTTTAATTTGTTTCTTTTATATTTATTTCCCAATGGTACATACTGAGAAATGTACCTTTCTAATATTTGTTGGAAGATGATCCATTTATCCTCAGTGTTCTTTTCACTAAAGAGTTTATGCCAGTCAATATATTGTAAAGCTGCCCTTAACTTATTGAAATTGGCCTTTTTAAAATTATATGTTTTAGTATACCCCATGTGCTTTTGCTTTTTTGAGTTTATTTCAAAAGACGCTATATTGTGATCACTATTTCCCAAGTGCTCACCTAATTGAATGTTGGTCAAAAGATCAACGTTGGGGGGGCGTGGCCTGGACACCAACGGGAGCAGCCGCATGTAACTGAAGCTCCGCGCCAGAAGGCCTAAATTGTGCAATTGCACCAACATAACGGGCAGTATACACCCGAAAAAATTGAAATGTCTCACCCCAAGACCAAACGGCAGGCGGATAAGGCGGACAAGACGCAGTTTTTTGCCCCAAAACAAGCCGCTCAGCGCGACTCTGCTCTGCCGGCGGGGATCCAAGATGGCGCCGAAGAGAGCACTGAAGAAACGCACGGTGTGCTCACTGATCAGGGGCCTTTGACCCAGGCAATAATGCAGCACATGCTTGACGGCATGTCGCTTAAAATAATGAACAGTGTGCAGACCTCCATAGGAGACCTACGCAAAGACCTAGTGGATCTCGGCTCCAGGACCTCTCAACTAGAGGAGAAATTGACCACAGCTGAAGAGGCACATAATGAGATGGCGGACCGGCTGCAGCAAATGGAGGAACGCCTCACAGCACAGGAGGTAAAACTGGCGGACATAGAGGATAGAAGCCGCCGAAATAATCTGCGGCTGAGGGGGGTGACAGAAACAGTGAGCATATCAGACCTACCAGCACATGTCACAGCCTACCTCAAAACACTGGTGCCAGACATTCCACAAGACATGCTCCTCTTTGACCGTATACACAGAACGGCGAGACCGAAGTTCCTGCCCCAAGATGCACCCAGGGACATATTGGTGCGTATGCACTACTATCATACCAAAGAGGCTATCCTGAGAGGTAGTAGAACACGCAAGGATCTACCAGAGCAGTACCGCAGCATCATGATATTTGCGGATGTCTCAGCGTTCACCCTTCAGAGAAGGAGAGAATTCCAGGACATCACGGCAGCGCTCAGAGAACAACGCATATTATATCGGTGGGGTTATCCGGTCAAGCTGCTGGTACAGAGGGCAGGAAAGACCACGGTAATTTCAACGCCAGAGGAAGGGACAGATATACTGAGAGGATGGGGTATCGAGAGTGAACACCAGCACAACCGACCCAAGGAGCCGAGAAGAATAACATCGGGCTGGAAACGGGCGAAACGCACGTAGAAGGTGCACCCACGTGGCCTGAGAGGGCCCACGACCACAGACTTTGCTGAGCCGCAAGTACCATAATGTGTAACTGTTTATGCTAATGTGAGGGCTACTTCCCGACGATTACCACGTAGCTAGCTGACACACTGGTAATCATTAGTGGTGTGAGTTAGACATCAGGGTGTAGTAAGCAGCGATCACTCTGTGTATTGAAAGGATTGAGATCCCTTAGAGGTAACTACGCCGCACCATGTCAACTAGAACAGGGGTTACACAACCAAAAAAAAAAAAAAAACCACAATAAGATAAATATTGCCATAGACATAAGGCCAGCGCGGAGCGCAAGTAACTTCCCAGGCAAAGGAGCGACGAGCTTCTACCCCCAAGGCGCTTGGATGAAGTGCCAAGCCACACAAAGGGCATGGTCCTATTTTGTAAATACTTTTGTTGTTGTTTGGTTATTTTGTTCTGTTAAAGTACTCAGCGGGAGAGGGCCTGTTGCCAACACTGCTGGGGGCTGGGATGGGGACCTGGTGGGTGGTCTCACCCCTAACTTCCAAGATAAGGTATATACTGTCACCTATGAGAAGTCACTACAGATTCTAGGGGCTGCCTTGCTCTGCTTGATAGCACTGGGAGGAGTGGGGCACCCTACAACCAACAAACACTCGCAATACTCAGCACAACCCTACATGTCTGACCCTACATGAAAATATATACACATAATGTGAGGGGATTGAACATCCCGACAAAAAGACACTTACTGTACCGGGAGCTTAAGAAACAATGCGCAGAAGTGGTGTGCTTACAGGAGACCCACTTCCGTACTAAGGATCATCCCCAGATTATGGAGTTAGAGTATCCACACCAATTCCATTCCACTTCCCCAACTAAAGCTAAAGGTACTTCCATATTGATAAGCAGACATGTCTCCTTTTCCCTAAAATCGCAGCACATAGATCAACTAGGCAGATACGTGGTGATAGTGGGAACGATAAATGACATAGAGTACACCATCGCGAATATCTATGCACCCAATCAAAATCAGAGGAACTTCCTACACAAAATTTTTCAAACACTAGTACCTATACAACAAGGTATAACACTTGTCTGTGGTGACTTTAACCACGTGCTTGACCCAACCATGGACTCCACCATACACCGAGCTAGTAGCAGATATAAAACCCTTAGACGTCAGGGCAAAGCCATCCAGTCCCTGCTGCACACCTACCACTACTACGACACTTGGAGGATCACACACCCCTCCGAGAGAGCATACACACACTTTTCACCTGTTCACAATTCGTACTCTAGAATTGATGGTTTCCTCCTCCAGGGATCCTACCTTAACCAAATCCTGAGTTGTGACATAGCACACATTACATGGTCAGACCATGCACCAGTACTTCTGCAGGTGAAAGACATGTATGACTTCAAACACCGCAGCCCATGGAGAATCAATGATTCTCTCCTTTTAAATCCGCAGTTTGTGGCCGATCTGACCACAGACATGAAGCGGTATTTCAAGGAAAATGAGACGCCCGAGGTATCGGCCACAACGGTCTGGATGGCACACAAGCCTGTAGTACGAGGTTTGCTAATACGTCGGGCGTCTTACCTCTGAAAACAATCTCAAAAACTCACACTAGAGCTACAAAAAGAACTTTACGATTTAAATTTAGCGAATCAAATCTCCCCCACGGATGATAGACGCAGACGCATACTCCAAACCACTAGACGACTGCACACACAAGCACTAGAACGCACGGAACAT